GAGGGCAGTGAGACGGGGAGGGGGAAGGGGATCTTTCCGAGAACTAAGAAGAGAGAGGGCGACCAGACGACCGTCACCAGCGTCGCGCCGGCAGTGGGGGAGGAGAGAAGAACAAGACGGGGAAGAAAGGTGGGGGATGTGAAAGAGATGAGGGAAGAGAGATGGGGATGCGAGAGAGATGGGATGAGAGAGAGGGGACTTACCATGGGGGGAGTGGTCGCCGGAAGTGAACTAACCGTTAGGGCTGGGAGAAATTTCGGGGAGAGAGAAAGTCGTAGAGGAGAGAGAGGGAGAGCAGGAATAGCTACATAATATGGTGTCAAAAGAAAAAAAAGTTTTAAAAAAAAGTGTAGATAAGATGATTATGAGGTAACTTTTAAAATAGAAGATGAGAGAAGAGAGTATTAAAATAAAAGGCAATCCCATGATTTTGTGATGTGTGTTGATTAATTAACTGTCCCATAATCTTTGCAATATGCTAATTACGTAAAAACAATCTGCTATTTATGGAATAAACAAAAAAGTGATATTATTTTCTTAAATAATTTTTAAAAAGTGCTTAGCCTGGTAGTTTCTCATTCTCGTTATAACTAGAATGTATATAATTCTATTCCGGACTGATCTGATATAAAATGCGTATAATCATGACATAGATCCAATCAGATGATAAATTCAAATCCTGACCCATTTCGATTTTGAACGTAATGGATCCACTAATTCTTTTGATAATTATTGATTCCACTAAGCAAGAGTTCCAATGAGCAAGAGTTCGAAGTTATAAAATGAATTAATTACTGGCATCATCATCATAGTGAATGTTCCTTTTCTGTAAACAAATCTCCAACCCAAGATTCAATACAATACAACACATTTTATAGTGAGTGCGTGTGTTTGTCGGAGAGTGAGAGAGCGTCCGCCCAACTCCAACTCCAAATCTCCAATATATACGAACAAGAGATAATTAACTGCACCATGAAATTTGCGATGAACCAAAACATTTATTCTTCTAAAGAGTGCTAGATCAACAAGGAAAACTGGAATCTTGTATACTTCCCGCCGAAGTCGGATGGCCGGAGCGCATTGGCCCTCCACCTCCAGTCACGTCTTCTGTTGGGTCATAAGCAGTCGTTGAGTATTCTGGCACCCCGGTAGTAGTGTAACCCTGAGCTCCACTATCCCTATGGAAGAAAGAATTCAAAATCTTCTGTATATATATTATTAAAAAGAGAGGAGAAATCTCCACGTTAAGTCAAGTGACAGACTTACAATAGGCCACTTGGCAAATTAGGACAAAGTTAGTTAAGTTAGATGATTATTAGTTTATTTTTGAATTTAAATTAAAAAGAATTAAAGTATACATTATATGTTGTTAATAATTATCTGTATATAGTAAGAGAAGTAAAACAATTATATGATGCCAAGTAGCATAATCATAAGATGACAAGTGTAAATTTTTAGGACAAAGTTCCAACAAAGTTGAAGTTTTAAAATTATTTTAAAATAAAAAAACAAAAAAATGCCATTTCAAATTGGGGAGTAGTTTCATCCTAATATGGTAGTCTATATCTATAAAAAGAAAACTGCCAATTCAAATTGCGAAATTTATATTATTTGAATTTACACATAGAAATATTTGAGTTGAGATAAAAAAAAAAGTTCATTTACTTATGGCAAATAATACAAAAAATTAGCAATTATTAAGAATATCAGTAGACTTAGGACAAAATAGTAAAAAATTACTTATCTGTTTATACTTTAAAAAAATTTAAAATTACAATTTAATTTAAATATGATAGTTTTTCGATTATATGTAAAATTAGAAATGAATAAAACCAAAAGAATTGTGAATAATAAAATAAAATTTTAAAAATAATATTTTTGAGAAGTAAGAAATATTTTTGTGCTATGTTAAAAGGAGTAGTGGACAACGATATTAAGCCAAGTGTTGCGCTAATAAAGCGTCATTTTAATAATGTAATAATAGTAAATAATAAAACTTATATTAAAGAAAAAGAAACAAAAATGTTATACGATGACTGCATAGTTTGTTTTTTTTTTCTTCTTTACAACTTGTTTGAATGGTTGTTACCTATTGTATTGTATCGTATTGTTACTTTAATTACGATGTTTGTTTTGATTGTTACTTAAAATTTTATTGTATACGTAACGACTGAAATGTGACACTTTATGTAACGACCGATTTGGTGTGGTCGCGTCGTCAATCTCACCCTTCATTATTATTAAATAATTTTATTTTATCATTTATATAGTAATTTTATCTCGTATCGTAATTTTTCTTTATAATATGCAAGTTTATTCTTTATATTGCTGGTGCGTGATATCATGAAACGATGGCAAATGACACAATCTATCCAAATATTATATTCATCAAACGATGCAGTACAGTACAATACAAAACGATACATTATAAAACGAACGATATGTAACAACCATTCAAACAAGCTATTAAGTTCATATCGCTTAGTTAATGAATTATTGTATTGAGAAGAAAGAGGTCAGTTGAATTTCTATTAATGCGACATGGTATAATATACTAAAAGATAAATTATAATTTAAAATAATTAATATTCTTTAAATTTAATAAGAGAATTCAAAATTCAAATTTAATAAGTTGAAATTATACTTCAATATTTATACTCCCTCCATTCTAACTTACGTGGAAGCTTATTTGACTGAACAAGCGAAGTTAAAAAAAACAAGACTTTTGAAATTTAAAAAATATAAAATAAACAAGACTTTTGAAATATGTAATATTAAACATGTCTTTAACATTTCTGTAATTATAATTCTATTGAAACTTATAATTTTAAATATTCATTTGCATATGATATTATTTGTATGACTATAAAAGTTCTTGTTTAAAATAAATTAATTCTTTTTCAATTACATTGTCTCTAAATTTAAAAATGAGTTATTCTATTTGTGTGTTAATGCTGAAGATAAATGCACATACCTTGTAGCTGCATTTTGATCCTTGGCTTCTCTCTTGTTCAGCTCAGCAGCAGTTTTCCTGTCATCTTTCTTCTCTGTTGCCATCTCTTTCTTCAATGGGTCCCTAGTTGTGATTCTCTCTGCCTGTTAAATATGTTACAAACTATAAATGGCCGGTTATTACACCCAATGTTTTACAGTCTCTGCCTGTTAACTTTATTTTAGGAAGCTGATTTTTTTCAAGGCTTCGAGTCAAAAGAATAATCCAATTGTTTGTCGTGCAAATACAGTGCACGTACTGACCATGTAAGTAAATTGACCATGTAAGTCTTAAAAATATACTTTCTTGTTCATGTAAACTAATTTCCTATATAAATTTTTATTTTTTAAACAAAATTTAAATATTTAAAAACACTTTGAAATGGTTATAAGCTCACGGAGGAGAAAGTACCTTACAAAAAGCACTTGAAGGGAATGTGTACTATATAATATATTAACGAAGAGATGATACCTTTTCTTCAATGGCGGCCTTGGTTTTCTCCATGCCAGACTTTGCTGAGGCTGCTGCATTAGCTGTTTTCTCATTAACTCCCTGCATTTTCTTTTCCTCCTAGTAACTAGTAAAGCTTGCTTTAGCCTTTAGCTGTTTTCACGAATTGCTTTCTATTCGATCTGTTTGTTAGCAAGATGAAGCAAAAGAGCGCATTTTGCAGGTTTTTTATTGGCGTTGGGAGAGAGAACGAAGTGGCGCCACGTTTATTTAACGTGGAAAATGGGCAGGTTCTTATTGTTGATCAGTTGACACGTTGCAGTAGTTGTCAACCGTTTACGATTATGCACGGGCGATAGATACGGTTGTTATTAGGTCCAAAATGTATACGGCTCCCTCCATTCCACTTTACGTGAGTCAGTGAGAACCAATGTCAATGTAAGTTAACTATTCCCTCCGTTCCAATTTATGTTCACCTATTTCATTGGTTACGGAATTTAAAAAAATTAAAAATAATTTAAATTTTTAATCCTAAACAAATCAAAAAGGGATCTAGAGTATTTATTTGGTTATAAAAGTTTCTCAGTTAGAGTAAAATTAGAAGTTTAAGCTAAATTGTTTCCAAATTTAGAAATGGATTATTTTTTTGGAACGGACTAAAAAGAAAATAGATTCACATAAACTGAAACGGAGGGATTACATTTTATGTGTGAATTTAAATATAAAATTATAAATTTTTTAAAATTAAAATTTATATAGTTAAAAATTAATAAAATATACTATAAATTATAATAATTAGCAATTTCAGATATTATAATATACATTAAAATATAATAAAATAATTTTGTTTTAATTCTCCAAATAGTAAATGTGTCACATAAAATAAAATAGAAGAACTATTTTTTGTCTTCTATAAGCAGCAGGTTTCAAATAAAATAAATCAAAAAGTAAAAACAAGAGCATTTCACTTTAAAATTTATATATTCTAGCTTTAAGTTTTATAAGCTGACTTAATATTTATATAATCGGCCCCTTAAAAAATTACAAATAATTTTTATCATAAGATTGCTTTTCTATTCTTTTTTGTCTAATTTTAAATAGAATGATCTTTGCTAATTATGTAAGCAATTTAACGTAACTCTTTATTCGTAATGACAAGCTTTTAGAGTCACACAAATATTGACATGTTTAAGACAATAAATTTTAATAACACCATTTTTAAACCTTCGTACCCTGTCTGTAAAGATTGCATAAAATAAAACAGAAAGAACAATTGATAACTTAGAAAAGATTTATGACAGGTTAATTTCAACAAATAGTGTAAATATTATTATACTATCAATATATTGAATTTAAATTCAAAACATAAAAATAAATAAATAAGGGAGAGTGAGCCTTAGTGGACGGCAGACTACGATTACCCTACAGTAATGATTTTTGTGAGGTTAGCAAAGTTCAATTAATACATCTTTTAGCAAAAATTAATTACTTGATTAATGATAAGTTATGCGTAGTTAGTTTTGATGATTTGACAAACTTCATGAGAGAACCCAATAAAAAACCCGATACAATTAGTTTCCTTGCGTTCAAAGTAACTAGTCAGATGTCTGGTTCAATTCTCAATGAAATCAGATGAGGGAACATCAGAAGGAACATATAGAGATCAGTTCCTCCGGTCACAGTACTAGTCAACTCTACAGTTGTTAAAGTTGTTGCACTGTACTCACAACGGTACAACAACACTGTTGAAGCGTGCAGTGTACCGGACACTCCCTTGCATCATTTTTCATGACCTCACAGATATATTATTAACATGAGGTAAGTGGTTTCACTTAACACTTGCAAACCTAAAACATTTACTCTCTCAAGTGTGCAGCCGCCCTTGTTTCCCTAAGAGCATTGAACAACAAAGCAAAGGACCAAATCTCAGTACTTATTATGACTTGTGTCCTTTGTATTGTTATGTCTTTGTCTTATGTTATTGAATTGTAATTCCTACACAACATTTCAGAAGCACTCAATATGACATATTTTAAACCATTATCGCTTTGGTTGTTTTGACTAGAGTTAGTCAAGTTTGTTGCTTTATAATAGAGTTATTGCAAAGAGGCTTACAATAGAGTTATTGTAAGGGTTGAGGGATTACGAGTTTACTTCCTAGATTGCAACAAGTTGTAATATAAATTTTGTTTAGTTAATTAATTTGAAATCCTACCAGTGCAGGTCATGATTTTTAATCTCGTGAGTTTGGATTTTTTCATGTAAATATCGTTGTGTTCTTTACTTACTGCAGTTACTGTAGGAATTGATAGAGAAATCAGGTTCTCTATATAGTTTGGCGGACCCTTAGTTTCTATCAATTGGTATCAGGGGAGGCTCTTTCTAAAAGGTTAATACCTAGAAAGAATCTACATGGCTGCTCCACCAAACTTCAAAGAAGGACAATGAACTTACAGACCACCAAGATTCAATGGCCAATACTATAGTTGGTGGAAAGCGAGAATGCGTGGTTTTTATCATGGCTGAGGATTCAGAGCTCTGGGATGTGATATGTGATGGACCTTTTGTCCCCGTGAAAATCATTGGTGAGGGAACAATTACAGTTTCAAAGACAAGAAATGAGTACAATGATGTTGATCTAAAGGCCATCGAGAAGAACTTCAGGGCTACGAAGATTCTTGTTTGTGGGATTGGACCAAATGAATACAATTGCATCTCACCATGTCAGTATGCCAAGTAGATCTGGGAAGCTCTCCAAACTGAACATGAGGGAACTAGTTAGGTCAAGCAGTCAAAAATCGATATGCTTACTACTGAGTATGAACTCTTCAAGATAAAGGAGAATGAGTCCATTCAGGACATGCGCATGCGTTTTACCTCAATCATCAATGAGCTTCACTCCCTTAGAGACGTTATCCCAAGAAACAAACTGGTTAGGAAAATACTCAGTGTGTTACCAGGTTCCTGGGAGAGAGAAGTCAATGTTATCACGGAAGCCAAGGATCTGCAGAAGCTGACTATTGATGAACTCATTGGAAATCTAAAAACCTATGAGGTGAAGAAGAAGAAGAAGAAGGATCTTGAAAGTAGAGAGCCCAAAAAGGAGAAGAACTTGGTTCTCAAGGCGGAAAACAGTGAATCAAGTGGTGATGAAACAGACATGACCTATTGTCACACCTTCTTTTTCCCGGGGGGATAGGAGAGTTTTTCCAATTTAAGTGACATTATTCGAAATGGGATTATTTATTTATTCAGAGTTGCCACTTGGAATAATTTATGATGTCCCAAGTCACCGATTTATTTTAGAATCCCAAATCGAGGAAAATTGACTCTTATTTATGGTCTACAAACACAGAAGATTGGGCAAGGAATTCTGTTAACCCGAGAGAAGGTGTGAGGCACTCCCGAGTTCCGTGGTTTTAGCACGGTCGCTCAACTATTAATAATTGGCATGGTTATCTGATTTAATATATGTTTTAAACTTATATGCGCATTTTTATTCCTTTTACCGCTTTTATTATATTACTGCATTTTAAAATTTTATGGAATTAATATGAGACGAGTTACATTGTCGTACACTCGTTGTTTATACACATCGCAAATCGCGTCACGTGAAACGCAACCGTAATCTACAACGTGTTTAATTTTATTTATTATTGTTTGAAGTTGTGGTCGAGTCACGTGAAACGCACACTCGAATTGGGGATTACGTATCGTGACCATGCCACGGGAGCCGTACCCACAGTCGCGATGATTTATTATTAATCGTGCCTAAAGCAAGCTACGAAATTTATGAATTATTTGTCTTAAACTAATTTGAGATTTATAAAGCCATAAGAGTATGTCATTGTAGAAAAGCATGAAAATAGATTAAATTAATTATTCAAGAACTACAAAAGGGGTTCATTGTATGAGATTAATGGGCCTAGCAGATATCAAGTTTTGGCCCAAAAATAAAATAACTTTCTTCATTAGCTTATAGTAATCTCACAAACCCACTTCCTTCAACAACTCATGTGTCTAAGCCCAAACATTGGATCTTCAACAGTGACATAATTCTAGTTAAACTTATTTAACAACTTAACTCTATACTTTAGACTATTGACAACTAATTTAAAACAAAGATGGAACTACTAAAGCTCATTTATTAACACATGAAAGACTAAATAACCAAATAGAGACATAACATTGCTTGAGCTTCCATTTCAATAAGAAATTATTTTTTTTATGAACAATCACAACTCACTTATCAATTAGCAAATTTCATTAAATTATTTATGGATGAACCATTTTTTAAGAGAACATGCTAATGAACTAAAATAAATATACAAAGAGGAAGCTCAAAAATTGGCATGTTTAATAGAGAATAATTTCATTCATTCAAGATATAAATGAACACCAAAGAACACCAAAAGAAAAAGAAGCAACTCATATCATTAATCAAAACAAGATAAGAAGTGGGCCTCAAAAATTGAATCTGAAACTTTACGGTTTTACAGCTTTGAATCTTAAACTCATTTAGACCGCACGCAAGACCTCAAATGGAGCATCGAAACTCGCCGACGACCTCAACTAAAAACATCACTATTTCGACTGGGTTTGGATGGTAGTTTATGGTATTTAAAAGGTTGTTCTATGGAGGTTTAAAGGTTGTTTTGGGTGGTAAAGCTGCTGGTTTTTTCTAAAGAAAGACGAAGAAATAATGACACGAATAGAAATTTTCTTATCCTAGACGAAGAAAATCCTCCCTCTTTTTTCTCTCCTTCTCTCCTCCCTTTTTCCCCTCACATTTCTCTTCTATTTATAGAAAAAAATTCGGAATTTTTAATTTTTTATTTTATTTTTTTATTTATTTTAATTAAAATAATTTCCACTTCCCATTTTTTAATTTTTAAAAAACAATTATTGCCCACTTTTCTTTACTTTTATTTTTTTAATTTCTCACTTTTTTTACTTTTAATATATTTAAAATCCCACTTTTTTTACTTTTCTTTTTTTATTTTCCACTTATTTTACTTTACTTTTTTTTAATTTCCACTTACTTTTACTTTTATTAAAGAAAAATCAGATACCCTTACTTCTATTTTTTATTTCCAACTTTATTTTACTTTTCATTTTTAAAATTTTCACATTCTTATACTTTTATTTTTTTAATTTTCCACTTTCTTTTATTTTTTTTTATTAAACAATTTCTACCTACTTTTACTTTTACTTTTTAATTT